ACAAAAGTTACAGGGGCAACAAGATATCTTTACCATTTCAAGAACACTGTCACTGAGCTCTTTGGAGGCTCTATCAGTCTGCAGTTCTGGAAGTCTTCCAAGTTTCTACCTGGGTGTAAAATTCAGATCTGAAGGTCCAATACAGAGAGGGCTGTCACATCAGTTTGTGCCCCATGAGGTCAGCCTGAATTGTGCCAAGTTTCCTGATGTCATTGTTGGGTAAATTTACACAGGCATTCATTCAAACACTTCTTGGTGAGAAAACCTGTGGAGAGTTTTTGTACATCTCTTCACTTTTCCAAGATGTTTTATATTTAGACTTGACAGGAGATATTATAAAAGTGATTTACCAGAGATGTGCCAAAGGTCATACATGCTACAAGTTACCCTCAATGCTTCATGGACTACTTGAACATATCGGAAACTGTCTAGAATTTTACAGTTCACTTAACTGTTTTAATCGTTATAGTCTAGTGACTCTTACTAATAGAGAGGGGCAACTTGAGACACTCTTAGAAGCCTCTCTAGGTAAACGAACTGTCTGGAGTGTTTTGGATGGTTTGAAGTCACATGGCTATAAAATTATGGGTGAAAAGAACATGGTGAAGATTAGAGATACTGTATTAATAACACCAGTAGCACTGAAGGGAATGTTGACGTTTAAAAGATTTTAGTGTTTAGCTCCTGTTCTGAAAGGGAAATAAATCAAGTGCTATGTATTTTACTCTGATGGCAGAAACAATCTGATAGGACTAATTCTTGTGCTACTTTTGTGTTTTCCATAGCTTAGAATTTGTGAAAGAAACAAGCATTCTTAATTTCTGGAGAAGGTTAATATTTCTAATAGTCATTATGTTATCTTCTGCTATGGTTACTAAAAAGCATTTTTCCTCAGGTTAATAATATAGGCATAGTTTAGATAACTTTTTTTATTAACTGGATACTTTGTTCTTATTTTAACAACTGACCAGATTCCTCTCTTCTCTGAAAGGTTTTTTTTTTTTAAGGTTCAGGTCCCAAATTCTGAACTATAGAGACTGACTGACAACATATCTTTTGCACCCAGATCATCTTTAGCATCTCTAGATGAGTGTTAAGTAGCACTAAGTTTCTCTTCCTTATTTTCCTTGTGTAACATATGGGATGATCATGTGACCTAAATATGGATACTAGCAATAATTAGTGAGGGTCATATGCTTCAATGCTCTTAAAATCGCTCTGCAGTATTGAAGGACTGGTTTGTTTGACAGGCACACCATGTAGGAAGAGATGTCAGTACAAAGGGAGTAGCTCCTTCTCTCATTGAGGGAGAATAATTACTAGTAAGGTTACTTTTTGAGAGTAGACATTTGTTTATTTATAAGAATGGACTATTCACAACATAACTTGAAATGTTTTATTATGTATTTTGAATAAAACAGACAACATTCCAAACTCACACCTGGAATCACTGGGCAGTTGCTGGTGGAAAATCTAAGTGGAATTTTAAAAAATAATCTGGCCAGTTTTTGTACTGGATAAAGAGGTGGATGCTTTGCCACAGCACAGTTAACACAAGATCTAGAGCAAAGGGAAATAAAACTAAAACCCTTTCTACATACAATTTTAATGCACAGGGCTACGAGAATTCTAGCTGTCTCTCTGTGACTACTCGATTGCAAATATTCTGGTTCTAAACAATAGTGCTGTGTTAAAGTATCATAAAGCACAGGTAAACTGAGTCAGAGAATGACACTGAGAAGTTGAAGAAGCCCTGTCAAGTGACTTAGATAGCACCATGGTGTAAAGACTGGCTCCACCCAAAGTTCCCAACAGGGGACATTGCTGAGCTCTTACTGGAAGGGGTCTTACCAAGCCTGCCGAGGGCTAATATGGCCTGTGAACAGCACAGTCTTCAGTGGAGGACACGTGCGGTCATGGCAAGAAGAAATTGGACTTGTTTGACAATGTTATTAATATTTTTTTCCTTAGGTAAAGGGACCACTGACTTGTTTCTCTCTTTGGGTTCCAGACTAGTGGTGGTAGCTTCTGAAACTACAGAGAATACTCTGAGACTACTTGGACAAGAGACAGACATTCTTTGCTAACTGTGCCTTGCTGACAGCTAAGAGCTCGTTTTCCCCAGATGTATTGCAACCTTTCAGACTTACTACATATGAGTCCCATTCTGTGACATCTGGTATAGGACTCAAGACATTCTGTACCTTTACAAACTTCAACCTGCCTGTTGTTCAACAGAAGTCTATGCTTCTGATGTCACTTGGTTGTTCCTAAGAGTGTTGTGATTTATTTTCCATAAAAACAAACTTATGGTGTCATGCATCCAGAGCAGAGACTGGAACTTCTGTACCAATACCACTTTTCCGGAAACCAATTTAACTGCCTTTTAAGGAAATAAGCCTTTATTTGACACTTCTCAAACATAACAGAAGGTGAGCAGGATTCTTGCTTTCAGTGAAGAAGCTCAGCCTTGAGATCATCTGTAGGATTGATGGTTTGAAAATTGTCGCTATATTGTTTTCCTTAAATTGTCCTTATGTTGAATTAATATAGCAGAAGAGTGTGATATAATATTTTTAAAAGCACATTTTTATATTCATAAATATATACAATATACAGAATTTAAGTCATAGTCAGTTAATTCCTTTTAAAAAGCAATTTGTATGACTTGTAAATTGTCATATTTATATGAACAAGTTTTGATAGTGTCCTTTTAAACTATATTTCAGCATATCCTTGATACAGAATTACTTTTTTTGCCATGCTTTTTTACCCTATAATCTATATGAAACTTAGCTTGACTTTTGCAGATTAGCGCATCACAATTAGTTAACTCTGAATAAATTATGATTTTGTCATTGTCAAATTAAACATAATATTCTCCTGATTGCAAATGAGCAACTTCCAATGGTACTAAAATTATCATTGATGTCTAGGGATAAAGATTCTTCTCAAATACAGAAACAACAGTGACTTTTACCCAACCTCTCCAAGAAATGTTGGACTTTCCACATTAATAGAAATATATTTTTTCCAAAGTAAGTGAGATACTATTTCTATTCTATTCCAAAATATTCAAACTTGCACTGAATTATGTTGAGAAATCTGAAATAATGATTGAGAACAATAGATCAGATTTAGGAACATGGAGGCCACTGTTATCTTCAGTAAGGTGGAGACTGGTGGGGTCCTATCTGTGTCATTATATAAGATCAATGCAGATTTTTGTCATTTCAGAGGAGAGTAACAATGCTGATGAAGGGAGTCTTCTGAAGGAATAGAGTTGCCGCACAATAGCTGTTTCCATTTGTATTAAATCCTGTCATTCATTAAAGGAGTAGTACTATTGATATGCATTTCAATGAATTAAAGTGATAAAAACAGTTTCAATATAAGCGACACTATTCTCTTCAGAAATGAAATAGGAGGTGGTATGATGTAATGGCTGAGCATGTGGGGTTTGGAGACACATATAACTTGGCTCAATCTGGAGTGTACCATTTACCAGACTTGCGCCCTCGTAAAATTTGTTTATCCTCTACCCGTCATTTTGTTATCTCCATCTGTAGTAATGAAAAAGGTAGTTAAATCATTAAGATGATGTGATAATTATATTTTTAAATGATGTGTAAAAAGCCCTGTAAAGTTTATTCTCAGTACAAAGTAAAATGCTTAAAAATTAATCAATTAATTTTAGTTATTTTTATTGTGGCATGGTGAGTTCTGGCACTAGAATTTTTAAGGTATATAAAGAATGACTACTTATCAGAACTGGGGAGGAATGTGAATTAATGCAGAAATTTAGAATGATAGTTGACCTTTAAAGTCCACTGTAAATGTGAGATATTATGCTGACATTAAATTAATCTGTAATAATTATCTAGACATAGAATTATGTATTTTAAATTATATGATTATATCAAGGGATGTAACTCATAGTTTTTCCATAGTGTTCTATTTCCTGAACATTCTATAATACATTCATTAGCAAAATTTTCTTAGTCTTTTCTAAGGGTAAAGCAAAAGAAAATGAATAATAAGGAGTCACATCCCCAATGAAATGTGAAAATTGAAATGGGAACCAGGAGTAAGGGATGGAACACTTTTTCATATAAAATATTAATTATTCTAAAGCAGAGTTGTGCCACAGGCTGATTTTGATCCTTTATTGACCACCCAGCCCCTGCATACTTTGGACAGTTGTCCTTCACACATTGTTAGGTTACGTGCTCTACAAAGGTACCTTCAAGGCCCTCCATCCTACACAGATCACCTTCAGTAAGCCCCTTTATCTATGTGCTTTCTGGAGGTTCCACTAAATTCAGTGACAGCATCAGGAACAGACCTGTAAAACCTTTTCACTCAGGTTAAATTGTTGACTAACTGTACATTTCCTTCGGTTTATCAGAAACATCCCGACCTGTCAGGAGATACAGACTGAACTCTCCAATGAACAGCTGTAAGTCTGTCACGTCATCAGTTGCCAGAGGATGCTGTTTCTTGAGGTGTCCACAGAATCACAGTATTGAAATACCTGAAAGATTGAAGTGCCTTATTTTCAACTGTGAGAGTTTAAGTAATTTTCCCTAAACTACGGCACTAAGTTATGGTGCAAGTAGGACCAGATTAAAGATCTTGTAACTTGCAATTATTTTCTTTCCACTGCTTCATCTACTGACACACACACTTGTCAGACCAGCTCTGTCTCAAAGTGAGAGAAAAGCATGCTCATAAAAGAGTCAAACATCTGTACACATCACTGACCAGCACAGAGCTGGCTCACAATAGGGGCCCAATTAAAATATTTCAGATGCAACTGGATCAAATCTTTAAAGTACTCAATTAAAACAATTCTTTTAATGGAGGAAATTCTAAGTTTCAGAAGAGGACCTTCATACTGAATCTCTGACCAGCAACTGATGACGCTACTCATCTCTGATGTTAATTGGTTACCTAACACTGAGCTCACCCAATCCAGGAGCAAATACAGATTTCCTTGGCTGGTATTATTTGGATGTGGATTGGAGGAGGGTCACAGTGCCCATTTGAGTGGGACCTGCCTACTCCCATCACACGCTATCTTCTCCTGATCTCCAGCATGGTGTGCCTGTATTTCTCTGGAGGCTCCTGGATGGCAGCTCTGACAGTGATACTGATGGTGCTGAGCCCTTCCCTGGTTTGGACCAAGAACACCCAATGTAAGTGCACATTTTGAGCTCTTGTGGGGTGGGGAAAGGAAAGGAGTTAGCTTTGTCACTGTGTCCAGGCCATGTCCCTTAAAAAACCGGACATTTTCTTCAGTGGCCAACTATCTTTATCATAAGAATGCTCAATTCTTTCCACAATAAGGGAGCCTGGGTGCTTGGACTGTTTATGAAAGTTGTGTAAGTTGCCTCCATATATATGAACAATTTATTTTCAACTCTCTTCCAGTAAAACCATGCCAGCTTTGCATCCCATTCCTTTGGGGTCTTAAGAAGATTTATAAATGAGAATGTCAAAATGTCAGTTTCCTTTATTATGTTGAGTCATGCCAAAAAAGGGGAAGTTTAGTCAAAAATTTTCTGGGGAATCAAGAGGACTTAGAAAGATCTCTCCTAGAAAATCCTGTTATTTCATCAATAAGATCTGTTTTGTTGGTGTCTCTCCCTAATACATGAGAATGTATCAAAGAGTCTCTCCCCATTAAATCTTTTCCTTTCTTCTGAACCACAATGTTTATAAGGGTTACATCACTGGAGGTTCTCTGACAAAACCTGGGGCTAGTTTTCTCTCTTTCTTCTGTGGGAAACACCCTAAAGCTTAAGTAGAGATCCTTAGTGTCTGGAATCACCCAGTAGGTAAGGAACACCCAGGGAATGTTCTATGATGCTTAAAGAAGTTACACATTCTCTGAAAACTTGACACAGGTTAATGTTCACTATGAATCTATTTTGAATCTTCCTATACCTTGTTTCTCCTACATCTCCCCATTCTCTGGCCTGAGCCCATGAGAAGAGACTCAACTAGTAGAGGATAAATTATGTAAAATTCTGCTTTTGTAAGTCAAAAGTAGTCAAATACCAGCAATTTCATATGGCAAACCATAATTTTTGAGCAAGGTACAGAGAGTGTGGTTCTTTCCATCCCATAGGGCTGAAATTCATTAAGCAAGACAAGGGAGCTCATTGGCCTCCTGGAGTCTGGCCCCAGATTTCATAGGTTCATTCATCATGCCCTCTCTGTTCCTTAATTAGCTCTGTTTTGTTACTTCTTTTTCCAGTTCTTCCCTATTCCTACTCAGTTATATCATCACCATTGCTGAAAATATCCCAAATTTGCACAGATCTTCAGCACAGTAACAATCCAGATGAGATGAATCTTAATGAAAATTTCCTTTTTTCTTAAAATCACCTTTATCGAAACTGTGAATGTTTCTTACAACTAGTAGGAGGAGAAAGAGGAAGTTTGTCTGAATTTGTAACAGCAAGTAGAAGGGATGTTATGTAGTGTCACCGGAATAAATGAGTGTGAAAGTTGGAGCCCTCTCTTGCTTTCCAAGAGTCTCACAAAAATCAGTTTTCGAAACTCTGGGTTTATTTGTTCAGACCAAATTTTCTTTTTTGAAAAACTATTATATATTGGGTTCTGTTCTAGGTCAGAGAATTCTATTTGGATAAGATAGCAGTCCCCTACTATCATGAAACTAATGACAGGAGACAAAGATAACAATCCAAAAACATTTAACAAAGAAAAACATTTCAGAGAGCAATAAATGCTCTGAAAAAAATGTATCAGGGTTATGGGACAGAGAGAATTGTATTCACCTGACTTGAGTTCAAGTGGCTAGTGAAAGTGACATTTAGTTGAAATATAAACATTGGAAAGCCAGGCATGTGAAGGATGTCCTAGAACAGGGAAAGGACACTGTGGGAAAATCTTTGCTGTGTTTAAGGGACAGAAAGGAGGCTAGTAGAGTGACTAAAGCAGAGCAAGCAAGTTGGCAGGTGGAATAAGATAAGGTTGAAAAGGAATTCAGGAAACAAATTATATTAGACCCTGATGGGCATGGTGAAAAATTTGAATTTTGTTTTAAAAAATACATGAAGTTACTGAAAGGTTACAAGGAAAGTCACTTTTGTACTTATCAGAGAAAAAATAATAATTCTAGTTACCATGTGGAGACTGGATTGAAGGATTCACCAGTGGTCAGGGACACCACTCAGGATCATATTAAAATTCTCCAGGGAAGACATACTTGTGGCCTTATTTAGTGTTTAATGACAGAGACAGTAGTAATGATAAAGTGAGAAGATTTGGGATAGATTGTTGAGTAACTTGTTAATGAGGGGAAGAAGGAGCAAATCAAGTTTATCCCTCAGGACTTTGTCTTGAATAACTGAAATAAACTTGATGGTGCTATTTATTGGGACAGGAAAAGCTGTGGAAGAAAATAATTTGAAGTGGCTGGTTAGAAATAATGATTTGTTTACATTAAGTGGAAATAATTTATTAACATGTATGTGAAGCTGTCAAGAGGCCAGTTGAATATATAAGACTGGAATTCAGGGGGAGGTGAGGGCTGGAGGTATGTATGTCTGGGTCATTGACACATGTACTGGATTAGAATCCAGGAAAGTAGAAGAGATTACATAAGGAGAGAGAGATTGTGTAGATGACAAAAAGAGGGCAAAGATCTTAGTCAGAGGACCAAGAGTCAATGAGTCAGTAAAGGGGACCAGAAAAGGGTACCAGGGATGTTGAGAAAAGCCAGGAGAATGTGATGCATGGAAGTGAAGGAAAGTACATTTTTCAAGGAAGGAGGGAGTGACCAGTTGTGATGAGCACCACTAAGATGTGGGTGAAGTGAGAACGTGATAGAGAAGTGAGCCCTGGGTTTGGCGGATCGACATTTACAGTAAGTGGTGCACACAAGACAGGAACTGGATTGGACCAATTGAAGAGAGAATGGGAGCAGTGTGAGGAATGGATTACAGATGCCACACTGAGTAGATGAAATCAGGGGAAGACTGTGCCCTAGAATCAGAAATTCAGCTGGACCTAAAGTGTGAGAATAAAGGAGACTGAAGAGAAGCTGGGAGGACTCGAGAACCATATGTGTTCATTCATCAGCAAGGAAGCACTACAGTGTCCTTGTTTGCCGAGGTGACTGGCTATGCAAAAAAAGCATCGTTTGTGCAGTCAATAATTATTAGTGACCTAGAATACACCAGTTATTCCCTGAGCTGATGATGATGGAGTGATGAACAGAACAAACTGGTCTCTATCAGCATGGAGCATCAAATCGTTTTGTAGTTACTATGGAACAGTCCTATGAATTTCAATATATAATATTTATTTCTAAGGAAGATAAAAAGAAGTCTTAAATGTATTCCTTCCTCTCCAATTTTATTAGCAAGTTGGGGAAGAGTTGTCCAATAAACTACAGGATCCAGTTAAATTTAAATTTCAGCTGAATAACAACAATTGATCTGAAATCCAAATTTATCTGGGAATCCAATGTTTTTATTTACTAAATCTGACAACCTGAATTTGGGTACATGAGCTGGAGTAACAGTGCTAACTATGCAAGCTACAGTGAAAAATAACTTCATGAATTTTTATTTTTTAATTTGTCATGTCAAGAAGCTATTAGAGAATTTCTGAATAATAAGGTAGACCTGGTCTGATCCAGAGCGCCCTCCTCTCTGCCATCATTTCTAAGTGAATGTCTCTACTCAAAGTCTGGGGACCTGCTCATTTTTTGTAAACTGACTATATGAGAATGCCATCTTTTTCTTACTATTTCTCCTTCTGAGGGGACTTGACTACAGAAATGAGAGTTCTACATTTGACCAAGGCTTGTAGTTTGATGCCTGCTGGCATTATTGGGTGTAGGAGCAAAGTTAAAAAATGAATTAGTTGGCACTTTGAATGGGAATAAAATGTCCATTGCCGTAGTTCACTACTATGGATAAGTAGTGGACCAGTGGCAGAGAAATTAAGAAAGCAAAGAATGTGTGGATAACTTATATGTTCTTGTAATTGGTTGGCGAGGTAAAGAAATAAACAAGCCTTGGTCCTGAACAAATTTATTTTGCTGGAAAAAGATTTTTTAAACAAACCTGGTCTTCTGAGCTTTCTTTATTTGGAAATGCAGAAAAGAAATTGTGTCCCTATTGGGTTTATGGTTTTAATCTCCTTAAAACTCTTTCATAGTTCTCATTACATTTAGTATAAAGTCAAAATCCTAACATCATCTCTAAGGCTTTTCAGTACCAGGCTCCATGTGATGTCTCCAGTCTACTCTTTTACCCTCCTCCCTCCCAGTGCTTCATGGAAATGTTTTCTCTGGTTTCTTGAATAAGTTCATCAACTCTTTTAAGCGTTTGTATGGTATTATGTTTACCTGAAATGTGCCTCTCTTTTACCCCAAATGTATACACCCACCCCTTTATTCCCCTCAGCTCATTTTAATTTCCCTAAATTTCAAACTCTAAAAGTAGAAGGGAGATACCTGTTTTTCCCTTCTTTGGTCTCCCAGTGGGTAAGATGGGCCTGGCCAGGTCAGCCCTACCCAAGCTTTCAGGGAATGAGGTGGACATATTTAAGGAACAGCTACTGAGCTGGGATGGGGGGAGGGAAGACGAGAGAGGGGTGTCTTTCCAGTGGAGACTTCTAGGAGGAGGTGATGGGGCAGATCCTTGTCCGGCTTT